AATAAAGATGTCCAAAGTAAACCAACCGGGCTTGTCTAGGAACGCTAGGAATCGGGAAGCGGAGACCGAGGAGTCTCGCTCCACAGTACTTTCCTACTATACCTCCCTAATTCGGAGCCACTGGTTTATCCATCGCACCGCCCATATACGCATTCGTATCAAACCAACACTGCTTCTAGATAGAGTATGGTCTGTAGCTACTGACATGGCCACAAGCCAGCCTAAACCGAAATGCTCCCATGGCCAATGCACAAAGTAAAACCTTATCAGAATCGCGAGTTCCATAACCAAAGTTTTCTTCCAAACATGATTACTAAGTTCTGATTATTTGCTAAACTAATTTTTTTAAGAAAGTTTAGTTTGATGTTTCCACAAAATTAGTGAATGCATAATCGCAGTTAATTTGTAGAATCCACCTGAATTACACACGAAACGTGGGCCTCGAAATTTAAATTTGCTGTCAGTCTGTTACCTACACGTGGACGCTATTTGTGATAGAATTTTCTATGGTAATCTTGTCATTCATTGTGATTTGCACTTTTCTGCCGTTTTATTTATTTTAATTGTACAACGTAGCGCTGGATCCAAATTGCTGTCGCACAATCCGGTGAAACGGTGGGTGTTTGATGCCTGTTTGGCAGAATACTGTGTTTTAAGCCCCTTTTGGGTTGAATTATCTGACGGAGGGCATGTCTTATTGCCCAACTTTTGGTTAGATTTGTGGGCAAGTAGAGGAGACCTTATCAAGGATTGAATACGGTCCTTCTGTAGGACTTCACATAAATAGATCATCCAAGTGTAGTAGCAGTGCATGCTTGACAGTGAATGAATGTCCTTATCCTGTGGTAGGCTCATTTGCTTAGGTTTACTCTTTTACCATAGCCACTTGAGTTAGCGCCTCTGTCCGCTTGTCTGTTCAATTTGTCCATCTAACAATCCACTCTTCTTCCGTGGTATCGATGCACCATTCATGAATTCTACTTATGCTTTTGTAATACGATGGTGGTTTATCCCTCGGTATTGGTGAGGCGCCACTTTTGGACTTCTGAATTTGCCCTCCTGTACCACGCTGGGTGGGCTGGCTTTCGGGCCATGCCAGCAGCCCAAACACTTTCCCTGTGCTGAATATATATACATATTCTGCTCGAGTACTGTGTCTTCTTTCGTCTTCAGGGAGGGCTCGGTACCCTACACTTTCTTCCTGTGACTAGGTATTCGTGTGATTCCACGTAAGCAGTCTCGAATCTCCTCAAATGCTTCACCGTTCATATGGGACAAAATTATGATTACTTCGTAGACAAAATCTGCCTCAACTTAGATCGGATTGCCGGGGCACTGATCAACCCATGCACATCTTGTCATGACGACAAGACAGAGATGGGCTTCCTACTTAGACGTTTCTGAGTAAACGACTGAATTTTACAAGGCGCATACACATGGAGTTTGAGGGAGTTGAACCCTCTGGTCGGAGAGACATTACCTGCAGTCGATGGAGGAGGCCTCTCCACGGACGCCTCCGAGAGAGGCGAGTTGGTGCGTCGGTCTGCATGGTGACCCAGCCCACTCGTGGTCGGCGTTTTGACAAATGAGTACGCTGTCGGTTAGCCAGAAGCCATGTCCCAGGTATAATATTGGAAGATGAATCATGCTTACAGGTCTAACCACTGCGAGCTCGTGAAGATGGACTTCGAGTGCAAGGCAGGGGTGGTGGTAGTCGCCAGCGGGGTGCGTCATTGCATTGCCACCGGTCAGTATCGCTTTCTTCGCTCTGAATGCGAGGAG